AGCCCAATGAGGGGCTCGAACTCACAAGCTGTGAGATCATGACCTGAGCTGAAGTCGGACGCTTAACTCACTGAGCCACCCAGGCTCCCCTGCAGCAACTTCTTACTAGACATGATGCTTGGAGGCAAGGGAAACAACAGCAAATATGAACTATTGGGACCTCTTCAAGATAAAAGGCTTCTGCACAGCAAAGGAAACAATCAACAAAACTAAAAGGCTGCCTACAGAATGGGAGAAGATATTTACAAATGACATATCTGATATAAGGTTAGTGTCCAAAATCTATAAAGAACTTCTCAAACTCCACACTGAAAAATTAATAATCCAGTGAAGATTTGGGCAGAAGACACGAACAGACACTTTTCCAAAGACGTGCAGATGGCTAACAGACACACGAAAAGATGCTCAATGTCACTCATCGTTAGGGAAATACAAATCAAAACCACAGTGAGATACCACCTCACACCTGTCAGGATGGCTAAATTTAACAATGCAGGAAATAACAGGTGTTGGCCAGGATGTGGATAAAGGGGAACCCTCTTACACTGTAAGTGGGAATGCAAACTGGTGCAGCCACTCTGGAAAACAGTATGGGGGTTCCTCAAAAAATTAAAAATAGGACTATCCTACAATCCAGCAAATGTACTACTAGATATTTACCCAAAGGATAGAAAAGTAATGGTTCAACGGGGCACATGCACTCCAATGTTTATACCAGCATTATCTACAAGAGCCAAATAATGGAGAGAGCCCAAATGCCAATTGAGTGATGAATGGATAAAGAAGATGTGGTTTACGTATACAACGGACTATTACTCAGGCATAAAAAAAGACTGAAATCTTTCCATTTGCAATGAGTGCATTATACTAAGCAAAATAAGCCAGAGAAAGACAAATACCATATGATTTCATTCACACGTGGAATTTAAGAAATGAAACAGATGAACATAGGGGAAGGAAGAAAAGAGAGAGAGGGAGGTAAACCATAAGAGACTCTTAGCTATAGAGTACAAACTAGGGGTTGCTGGGGAGGAGGTGGGCAGGGGAGAGGTTAAATGGGTGATGGGGATTAAGGAGCACACTTGTTGTGATGAGCACTGGGTGTTGTAGGTAAGTGATGAGTCATTAAATTCTACTCCTAAAACAAATATTACACTGCATGTTAACTAACAAGAATTATATAAAAACTTGAGGGGTGCCTGGGTGGCTCAGTCAGTTGAGCATTTGACTTCAGCTCAGGTCATGAGCTCACCGTTTCTGAGTTCAAGCCCCATGTCGGGCTCTGTGCTGACAGCTCAGAGCCTGGAGCCTGCTTCAGATTCTGGGTCTTCCTCTCTCTCTTCCCCTTCCCTACTTGTGCTCTCTCTCTCTCTCTCTCTCTCTCAAAAATAAATAAACATCTTTTTTAAAAAAAAGCTTGAAACACTTAAAAAAAGATCTTTTCAGGCACCATGGGCTGAGCTTGAAATTGTATATGTATTGTCTCATTTATTTTTTTCAAAAGCCATTCTATGAGGGCCATAATGTTAGGAGCCTCATTCCACATTTGCAGAGATGTGACTTGGAAGGGTTGAGTGGTCACCCCAGAATTATGGACTGGACCATTATGAACTGATGTGCTTCTACTGGAATGCTGAGTTCTCTTGCTCTAGACCAGTGGATCTCAGCCAGGGATGATTTTGCCTCCAAAGGACACTTGAAAATACCTGGAGAAGGTTTTGTTTGTCATAGCTTAGGAAGTGCTCCTGCTAATTTGACATGCCCAGGGTGGCCCAGAAATTCTGCCTTGTAACTAGCTCCCTGTTGTAACTTTGACGATCTTGGTCTGTAGACAACCTTTGCATATTAAGACTGTGGTCCAGTGGTAGAATCAAGTGTGAGTATTTTGGGGTTTTCTTCTATAAGAACCCCCCTACCTACCTCAGGTCTGATCTTAGGCAGTCAAATGTGGGGCTCAGTGGTTCAGCTTCTTTATACACAAGTTTTCAGGTGTCTCTTTTTCCTCATGACAGGAAATGAACCTTCTAAGCCTTTGTTCCTTTATCTGTAAACAAGAGAAATTCCATCTAAGCATTTGGTGTGAGAATCCTTTTGGTTAGTAATATCTTTTTTAAAAATTTAATGTTTATTTATTTTTGAGAGAGAGAGAGAGAGAGCATGAGTAGAGGAGGGCAGAGGGAGACACAGAATCCAAAGCAGGCTCTAGGCTCTGAGCTGTCACCACAGAGCTTGATGCAGGGCTTGAACCCACAAACCGTGAGATCATAACCTGAGCCAAAGTCGGACGCTTAACCAACTGAGCCATGCAGGCACCCTGAGAAGTTAGTAATTTTTTAGATCTCACAGGGAATTACCTGGCACAGAGAAGGTGCTCAGTCCACAGGGGCTACTGTGACCTTCTAAGTTCCACATTGACTAAGTTGATGATGACACGCCCCTCCATAAAAGTCTCTTGGGACAGGAAGTGAGTCCAGGATTATTCTGCTTCAGGGGCAGTTTTTTGGGTGGGTTGGGAAGGCAGTGGGTGTAGATGGCAGCATCCGACACAACTGGGGGCCCTGGCACTCACTGGCACACTCTTACATTCATCCCTGGGTGAAGTCCCTGGCTGAGATCTCCTGGGGCACCAAGCGTGCTGCCTTGGGATAGAGCTTATGTGGGTAAAGTATAATTGTTCCTCTTACTCTCCTCAATGCGTTCAATATTGAGTGTTTTTTGCTCCAACTTTGGGCTTGAGTTTCTTCATCAGGCCCCTGGACTTCCATGAAGATACTCTCAGCAATGAGTTACTGTCTTTTCTTAGGGAAAAGATGTGAGAAAGCTCCAATTTCACCGTTTTGACGATCTGTTTTTTTAATTGGGAAAATACATGTTTTCTAGAAGCTCCACTAAAAGATTTCAGCTCACATCTGTTTGGGCACACTTGTGTCACATGGTATGGTCAGCAGAATGATGGCCTTCCAAAAATGTCTGCTTTCCAATCCTCAGAAGCTGTGAAAATGTTAGGTTACAAGGGAAAAGGGATTAAAGTTATAGAAGGAATTAAGTTTGCTCATCACTTGATCTTAAGATAGAGGTTATCTGGGGCTAACTGGATGAAGCCCTTGTAATCCCAAGGGTCCATGAAGAGAAAAAGGAGGCAGCTTAAGGGTCCAGGAAATGAGAGAAGGGAAAGACTCAGTCAGCCACTGCTGGCATTGAAGACACAGGATGGAGCCATAGGACAAGGGAGGAGGATGTTCCCTAGAAGCTGGAGAAGGCAAGAAAGGGGGTTATCCTCCTGGAATCTCTAGAAAGGAATGCAGCTGTGAAGACATCTTGATTTCTATCCCAGGGAGACCCATTTTGGACTTCTGATCTCCAGAACTGTAAGCTAATACCTTTGTGTTCTTTTTAAGCCACCAAGTCTGCCATCGCTGGTTACAACAGCAACAGTAAGCCAAAGCACATGATGACCCCTTTATTAATGTTTTGAGTATATTGCCACCCCCATCCATATCCTGCTACTAGGAAAAAGGGGAGAATCGATATTGAAAAGGCAACATAGCTTCTGTTCTTGATTAGAACCTGTAATAAACTTCCATTCACCAAACTGTGAAATTGACGGGAGAATAAGAAAACACAAATCCTATAAAATAAAATATGTCATATTATAATTTTTTAATGTTTATTTATTTTTGAGAGAGAGACAGAGTGTGAGCTGGGGAAGGGGAAGAGAGGGGGGAGACACAGAATCTGAAGGAGGCTCCAGGCTCTGAGCTGTCAGCACAGAGCCCAACGTGGGGCTCGAACCCATGAACCATGAGATCATGACCCGAGCCAAAGCCGGATGCTTAGCCTACTGAGCCACCCAGGCGACCCATAAAATCTGGCATATTATAAAAGTGGAATAAAAAAAAAAACAATGAGGGAAGCAAGGCTTTTGAAATAAGAGGTGTTTGGACAATTTGTTATTAGTTAGAAGCAAAATAACATTAAATTTCTATCTTAATGACAACCGCTTGTTGGCATAAAGAGAGTGAACATGTAGAAAAGCAAAATGAATAAAGTGAACTTGTAGAAAAAACATAGCAGTGGACATCTAGAGGAAAGATTAGGTTAATCCTCTGAGCATAAACCAGATGGAAGAAAAAGCAAAGAACTGAGAACATAATCAATGGACTCCAGTGCCTTGAAATCTGTAGGTCCAACAATAAAGGAAATTTACAAACAAGTGTAAAACTAGGGAAAATATTTAGAACACGTTGGATATTACAAAGCATAAAGTGTAGACATATAAAAAATTATTTTAACCCAATTAGAATAAAAATACCTGAGAAATGGTCTAAAGATGCAAACCAAAAATATAGGAAGAAAACATGCAAATAAATATACAAACTGGAAAATGTGCTAAACTTTGTAACAATCAAATGAAGTGAAATTATAATATTAAGGAAAACTTAATAAACCTCAATGTAAGGTTTGGATTTAAAACTCCGTCATTAGAGCTATACCAGGCACTGTAAAGATAGGTAAGAGACAGTTCTGAAACTCAAGAAATCTGTAGAGTGGACAAGTTGAGAAATTTAATAACGTTGATGGGACTGGAAGGAAAGTAGATCAGAAAAAAAACGTGGAGGGGATCAAATCTTTGGGTTCATTTTAGTCATGTGACCTGAGAAAACATCTCTGTAAATGAGTTTTCAGGACATTTCCAAAATAGGTACACATCCCATCCCTCTGAGGATAGATATTAAATACATGAGATTTGATTCATTTTTTTTTAAGAAATCCAAACCATTACCAAATATAACTGAGAAAATATCAGGTTCTGTTCACACCAAGTTATAATGAGTGGTTATAAAGTGAAAAAGGGAACTCAAGATATAGCCTGAAGAAAAATCGAGAGGGCAGGGAAGACCCCAGGAAAGTACTGCTTTAAAACAGGTACAACTGGGGAAGAAATAAAGATATTGGATGAAGCAAGCCAGGATTTCTGGACCTCCATATTGTGCACCCAGTTACCATAAGACTCCTCCGGAGACCCCACTGCTGAGAGGCACCACCCTGCTGAGTAGTCTCCTTAGAGCCCCCTTCATGTCCCTGTTCCTCAGACTGTAGATGAAGGGGTTCAGCATGGGCGTGACAATCGTGTACATCACTGAGGCCACCAGACTTGTCCTAGAGGATGAAGTCGCTGCAGAACTGAGGTAGACCCCAAGACCTGTTCCATAGAACAAGAAGACCACTGAGAGGTGAGAGCCACACGTGGAAAAGGCTTTGTACTTGCCAGTAGCTGAGGAAAGGTTGAGTATGGAGGAAACAATTTGATAGTAGGACAAAAGTATTCCGTTGAAAGGAATCACGGCCAGAAGGCCAGTTGCAGAATACACCACCATGGTATTGACGAAGGTGTCAGAACAGGCAAGCTTCAGGACTTCGGGAAGATCACAAAAGAAGTGTGGGATTTCCACGTTTGTGCAGAAGGACAGCCTCAAAAGGGTCAAGGTCTCGAGCAGGGAACCCATGATACTGAGGCACCAGGATCCCAATGCCAACAGCCCACAAAACTGGCCGTTCATGATGATTGAGTAGTGCAGGGGGTGACAGATGGCCACAAAGCGGTCATAGGCCATCGCGGTCAGGAGTAAGTTGTCCAGGCATCCAAACACAATGAAAAAAAATATCTGGCTGAGGCAGCCTTCATATGTTATGATTGTGCTCTGAGTCTGGATGTTCCAGAGCATCTTCGGGACAGTAGTGGAGGTAAAACAGATGTCAGCCAAGGACAGGTTGGAAAGGAAGAAGTACATGGGGGTGTGGAGGAGGGAGTCAGAGCAGATGACCAGGATAATGAGCAGATTCCCAGTGACCGTGACCAAGTACATGGACAGGAACAGCCCAAAGAGCACAAATTGACTATCTGACTTTGCTGAAAATCCCAAGAGGAGAAATTGCGAAGCACATGTTTGATTTCCTGATTCCATGTGGATGAAACCACTACCAGGAAAGAGAGGGGGAAAAAAATCAACATTCAATTACCATCACTTTGATGGCACAGAAATGTGGTTGCCTTCGATTTCAGGTGAATGGATTAATAAAGTACTGCCCCTTATATCATTGCCTCAGTTGGGGAGTTGTAAATGCTTTCATCCTTCCTTTGTACCGCTACTCGCTGGAAATGTAATCCTCGTTCCAAAGCAGCTGTCCCCCTTCATCGCCTGGCTACTCAGAGTGTGGTCCGTGGATCAGCAGGATCAACATTGCCCAAGAGCTTATGTGAATGCCGAGTCCCAGGCCACATTCACTCTTGCCGAATCAGAAGCTACACTGCAACAAGGTCGCAGAGTCTCACCTGTTCATTCATGACTGCGTAGTGTTGGTCTAGAACCTCTGTGGCATCAGGTCCTTCAACTTTTATCTCCCCACTTTTATTTTCTTCTACATCTTGGGTCAAGCCTCCTTACTTAATATGTAGGCAAAAATTGGAGCCCAATTAATAGAGCTTTTTTCTGCCTTCCGTGTGGAGTTCATAGTTTCATTCATTGCCCTTAACTATTCCAAACACTGCTTATGAAGCCTGAATTTAGTTTTTCAATGCAAATATCTATAAAAGGTATACAAGCACCGCATATTAGGCTGATGTTACATTTGGGTATTTTGTGTTTTTAAGGTTAAGATTCAGAGCTTTTATACACATACATATGTTGTAGACTGTGGGTCTAAAGTTCTTTGTTGTCTCGCAAGAAAGCGGGATGCAGGATTAAAATGCGAGAGATGGTTAATGCCTGGGAGAAGACAAGGGCCCTGATTAAGGGTCCTTGCTCTGTTTTTACTAGGATCAGAGGCTTACAGACATGGTGATGGACGTGCACAAAGAGACAATGAAACTGTGAACATTAACTCATGGACAGGAGGGAAAGGGGGTTTTGAAGATATGTGGGGTTAGGAGCTTGGGTTAATACAAAACAAAACCCTGGCCCCAGGAGGCTGGGTGGAAGGTTGCTTACAACAGACATGAGGCACCACCTCTGTTAACCAAAATTGGCCTAGAGGACAAGAAAGACAGAACAGGCTACCTCAGGGTCAACAAGGCACCTTTCTTTTGTTAATTAGCTCTGCTCTGGGCAACTTCACCCTGCAGAGGTCTATAGCCCTATTTACCTGTTGACCTAATTTGGTCCTTCCTTCCTGGGAAAGCAGCTTTCTGCTATTGTACTAAGTTGGGGGGGGGGGCACTTCCTCCCTGAATACCTAATCTTGTTTACCTCATACCTTTGTTCTGTATTGGGGACTTTGTCCCCGCCCTCTCTATACTGGGATCTCTGCCCAGCCCTCTCTATACCTATGTACCTAATCTTGTTTACCTAAACTTGGTTGTGAGCATCCTGTGGCTTTCTAATTCTTGATGCCTTGTTAACCCATCCGTGCAAGCACAGGGAATTCCTAAGGTTATTCCCCGCATACATATATGCACACGCACTTTAAAGAGAACCTACAAAATCCTCTCTCCAGATAAATAAGCAAACAAATTAATTAATTAAAATATTTGAAACAATGGGGTGTTTGGGTGGCTCAGTCAGTTAAGCATCTGACTCTTTTTTAAATTTTTTAAATTTTTTTAATGTTTATTTTTGAGACAGAGAGCGTGAACAGGGGAGGGGCAGAGAGAGAGAGACGGAGACGCAGAATCTGAAACAGGCTCCAGGCTCGGAGCTGTCAACACAGAGCCCGACGCGGGGCTCGAACCCATGAACCGCCAGATCATGACCTGAGCTGAAGTGGGACGCTTAACCGACTGAGCCACCCAGGTGCCCCTCTTTTTAAAATGTTTTTAATGTTTATTTATTCTTGAGAGAGAGACAGACAGACAGACAGAACATGAACAGGGGAGGGGCAAAGAGAGAAAGGGAGACACAGAATCCGAGGCAGGCTCCAGGCTCCGAGCTGTCAGCACGGAGCCCAACGTGGGGCTCGAACCCACAAGCCATGAGATAATGACCTGAGCTGAAGTCGGATGCTTAACTGACTGAGCCACCCAGGAGCCCCAAGCATCTAACTCTTGATTGCGGCTTAGGTATGATCTCACAGTTCCTGATTTCGAGCCCCATATTGGGTTCTACCCTGGGTGTTGAGCCTGCTTAGGATTCTGTCTCTCTCCCTCTGCCCCTTCCCCAATCACAGTCTCTCTAAATAAATAAATACATACATACATACATAAATAGATAAATAAATAAAATCTTTAAAAAGAGCTTACAAAATAACTGATGTCAGAGAAAATGATGGAGCAGAGAACTCCATAGGCCCAACACTTCACAAAAGCACTGAAAATACTGAGGAATATTGTCAGCATCAACTTTACCAGGAATTTTAAAAAGTAGTTGATGGTCTAGTTGGTTACTCATTAAATTCCCTCACTACTTAGGTGAATCCATAAGCACAGGGGTTCTTTATCTTAGAAGGAGCACTTCTTTCTTCAGCTTTGGCCTCCACTCTGAAAGATGGCCAAAGAAACAATCCCAGAGTCCCTGAGTTGGAGATTCTCCACACTCAGAAGGAATGAGATATCCATTGTTTTGAGGCCCATTGAAATTCTGCTACCTTCCTTCAGAGATATGGGGATATCCCCCTGACTGTGCCCTACATCACCTAAGACAACCCCAAGAGCATCGCCATGTCTCTTCTGTTGATCCACTGAGGGAGGACCCAAAAACTGGAAATCATTTCAAGTGTGAGGGACGAAATACTTGAGCCACGATAACAATGTTCCTGCCTCACCTATCCTACGGTGTGGCTATTACCATGTGTGATGCTTCTAGCCTATATTCAGAAACATTTCAAGAACCTGAATTGGCTGGAGACATTGCTCTTTCCACCACACAATGTGACTCTCATGAGAATTGGGGAGATCCCTGTCTTTTTGCCTTAGTATCAAGAAGGGTCAGGTTCTATCAACAATTTTATTTTAATGTTATGGATAATATGAATCTTGTAATTAATCATCGTGCCAGAGATTGCCTATGTAACACATCTATTCTCTTCTTTCCTGTTGTTGGAACCTGACTCTATTTGGAGGCGGTCATACGCTCAGCTAAGATGCTATATTTCCCACCTTCTCATTCAATCATGGATAGTTGGTGCAAAGTATGAGAAGTTATTGAGTGGGAATATTGGAGTGCTCTTTAGAAGACTTTCTCTTTTCTATCTCTTCCTTGCCTAGAATTCACACATGACCCCACAGCTGACATGTCTTGGAAAACCACACACCACGGATGTGGAAGCAGAGATGGAATGAACCCTTGTTCCTCATGTTAGCATAAAGTCGTCGTGCCACTTCCTTGAAGAGGGGAGGCAAATACTCCTGATTGAATATGAACCCTTTTTCTTCTTAGTCTTTCCATTTATACAGCCAAATTTAATCCTAACAGCACAAAAAGAGTCGTTTGTCTTCAGTGGAATTCTCAGTCATATCAGGGGCCAAATTTTGGCACCCATGGTAACATTTCATGGTAGATATTTCACTTACTCATGTAATCATTCCTCTGGGTTTGGGTCTCCTTTCCTTCGGCCACGTTATTTCTCTTGTCATATACACTTAAGGCATTTTGTCCTAAGTATTGTGTAATTTCCCCAAAATTCTTTTGGAATGTGTCATGCGAATGAGTAAGTGAATAAAGAAATGGTGTTTTTCAGATGGCACCATGTCCTGGACACTTGATCCATCATTATCAGTCCTCCCATAAGCATACTGTGACACCTCCTTCTACTCTCTCTTGTGCTGATGAAAAAGGATACACAGGATAGAAGAAACATTTCCAAGGTCTATCAGGCACTGGATGGAAAGGGGAAATTCCAACTCACATCTGCCTGACTCCAACTCAAGGCCCTTCTCACTCTGCGGGGCTGCCTCACGCATTCAGTGCTTCACAAACAAGAGGAAAGGCTAACTTGGGAATAAAGCAGAACCCGAGACAGGTGAACAGACATAAGGGAGGGACAGTTCCTGCTGCAGAAAGAGAGAGGCCCTGGAATGATGCTCGGAGAAGAGAAGTGAGAAGAATGGATCTGAGAAGGTATGAAGAGTCTTCTTCAGACTGAAATGAGAAGGATTTGGAATCAGTGGTTACGAAAGGCATGGTTAAGAAAAGCCTTCCTGCCTTCCACACCACTTTTCTGGAGTACTTACTGGACTACTCTGGCTTTCCCAGATGCATCACTCAATGGATTTGGCTCTACTGGTCCTTCCTTCCAGGGACAATTGATGTAGAAAGGGCAAGAAATGGATGGTCAGGAGGTGGTTCTTCGGATTAGTTGGACATCTAGGAGGGTCATGGTGAGGATGCTTTCAGCCTATGGCTGTTGAGTGGCAGGTGAGCTCTGCAGAGGCTGAATTCTCAGAGCCCCATAGTGCCTGTATTCCCTTAGTGGGGCTCAATTCTCTAAGCAATTTAGCTTATCAGAAGCCAAGGGACCATAAATAAAGGAAACTTTTCTGCCATTTCAGTCCCCATGTGTCCACCTTGGGAGTCAGGTGCATATTCCCTTTCCACCAATGGATCCATCTCCCCTGGAGTGGACATCTCTCCCATGCATGTAACCTCTTATGTGGGCACATCAAATACACCACCCCGTGAGCCTCTGAGCTGCTGTGAGTGACTGGATCTCCCTTGTCCAATTCAGAGATATGGCTATGTTGCCTGACCACATCCATCCCAAATAAGATCCTCCCTGAAACTTCATCCTAACTTCTATTTTTTTATTATTATTAGTTAAATTCAAGTTAGTTAACATACAGTATAGTCTTGGCTTCAGGAGTAGAACTCAGTGATTCATTGTTTACATGACACCCAGTGCTCATCCCAAAAAGCACCTTCCTTAATGCTCATCATCCATTTAACTCATTCTCCCACCCACCTCCCCTTACGCAACCCTCAGCTTCTTCTCTGCATTTAAGAATCTCTTCTGGTTTGCCTCCCTCTCTGTTTTTATCTTATTTTTCTTTCCTTCCCCTACGTTCATCTGTTGTGTTTCTCAAATTCCACACAGCAGTGAA